TACTCCAGATTATTAAAGTAAAGAAATGGAGTTTCTAACTTAATTAGAACAGCATTTATGGACTCTGGTAGCTTAGACACAAGGAAAACATTCCCAGCACTCAAAAACATTCTGGGTAAGTGGGCTAGTGTCCATCTGTGCAAGATGTCTAGTTGAGACTCAGAAACTTTTCCCAGTAACCGGAAAAGATTCCAGGGATAATGAATTTTTGGGGGGTTTGAGAAAGTCGTCTGGTAAGCCGGAAATCTCTCATCCCTGGAAGTGCTCTGCACCAAATGTTCCAGCTAAGGGGATATCAATGTACATGTACAGTATTACCCCGCTTTAGGCGTTTCCACGTTTACGCGGTACCCTGCCAGACCCGGAATGTTCACTTTATACGGTGCATGTACTTTTTTAGGCGGAGAGCGGCTGGCTGTCATCTCGCAACACGCCATTTTTGGATTCAAACCTCCCGCCATCTCTCCCACCATGTTGGGTAAGCGACGCGAGTAGGTTGGGCAGTGTATATCTTTGTTGCGTTATCAGTGACGTCATATGACGTATCGGACTGTGATTGGGCCAAGCATCCTTACCTCCCTCCCCCGCTAGCTGTGATTGGTTTAATGTACTATGACGTGCCCCGCCGCGGGAGCGTTCAAGCCCCTTGACCTACCCGCGTCAGTTAAACCCCTCCCGGCTACACCGTGTATATCGGTACCTCTTGTTCCATAAGAATGGCTGCCACCGGACCACCACCACAAAGAAACCTTGCATTACCTGGACCCAGCCGCCCTAAGCCAAAGAAGATAAGACGTGCCCTAAGCTACGAAATTAAATACAAGATCATCCAAGAGTTGGAGAAAGGAACAAGACAGGTTGATTTGGCGCGCCAGCATGGTGTGAACGAATCTACGATCCGGACAATCAAGAAGGATGCAGCCAAGATAAAAGAATACATGAACATCACAAAGTCTACAGGTGCTTCTATGATCAAGTATTGCCACAACAAGGTGCTTCTCAAGATGGAGAAATTACTTGTGAGCTACTTGATTCGTCAGGCAAGACAGAACATGGCGGTGGACACGCTCTCAGTTAAGGAGTACGCACGTGAACTGTTCGCAGCAGTGTCACGTAAGATGGGAATTGCAGAGCCCAAACCCTTCAATGCTTCCTCTGGGTGGTTGCAGAGGTTTAAGAAGAGGAACAAGATCACCAACATTAACATTGGTGGTGAAGAAGCGAGTGCTGACCATGTTGCGGCTAGGGATTTTCCTCCGTTTTTACGTGAGATTATGGAGGAAGGACAGTACACCTACGACCAGGTGTTTAACATGGACGAATCTGGTCTTTTTTGGAAAAAGCTACCTTCCAAGACCTTCGTTGTCAAGACTGCCAGCAAGTGTCGGGGCCGGAAGTTGCAGAAGGAGCGCATCACCGTCCTGTTTACCACCAATGCCTCCGGTACCTGTAAGCTCAAGTTATCGGTGATCCACACAGCACGCAAGCCGTACGCCTACAAGAACATGAACATGGACATGACCAAGCTAAATGTCCACTGGCTGACCGCACGTAAGGCGTGGATGTTCTCTACTCTGTCCCTCTCCTGGTTTGATGACTGTTTCGTTCCCAACGTGAAGAAATTCTGTGAGCAACAGAATGTTCCATTCAAGATTTTGTTGCTGCTTGACAACGCACCAGGACACTCGCCCCTACTGTTGGATTGTCACCCCAACGTAAAAGTGGTCTTCCTTCCTCCCAACACTACGTCATTAATCCAGCCCATGGACCAAGAATTAATCTGCAGTGTGAAAGCTGCATTCTCTGCAAAGAAGTTTAAGCTCCTGAACGACTATACCAACACCAAGGATGAGTTGCGTAACCTGGGTGACGCCGATAGCAAGAGTGAAGAGGACGAGGAACAACAGTTGGCAGAGCAAGAAGTACTTGTGAAACATTTTTGGAGAAAATTCAACGTCAAGAAAGCTGTGGACTTCTTGGTGGAGGCATGGGATCAGCTGTCTGTAACAACGGTTCGTCACGTATGGAGACATGTGTCACAAGGTATCCCACGTGGGAGGCAGAGTCAATCTGTGACTGGTGAGGTTCAGACTGTTGCAGTAGCAGTGGATTTTGCCAGAGAAGCTGCGCAGAGTGTTAAAGCTAAAGGCTTCTCCGAGACCACCAACGACGACATTATGGAGGTGATAAGGGATCCTAATGTGACTGCCGACGAGATGTTAGAAGATGATGACGTCAGAGAAGAGGCAGGTGGTGCGTCATCCCAAGAAGAACGCAAGTTATCGCATGGTAATGTAAGGGGTGCCATCGAGTGTGTAGAGAAACTGAAGCTCCTCCTTTCCGACGACCCTGACGATAACCGGTATGAAGTCTTCACTACCCAGCTGTTGCAGACTATGGAGCCCTACATCAAGGTGTATCACGACAACATCAACACCAGCCGTCAACAAGGCATTACCGAGTTCTTCGCCCGCAACCTACCACAGCCATCCCAAACCAGTGATAGTGACAGAGACAGTGATGGTGACTTTGAGGGATTTGTCAGGGATGCCCTGATAAGAGTGGATGACAGTGATGATGAATCACCTGAGGGCCAGTAGCCTGCCCTCTGCCTCGGAACCAGCCTCCATTCCCATACGCCAACCCATCTCTTCGACTAACGTAAGTGTTAAACCTAACCTTGATTTTTTCTAACCTAACCAACAGTATATTATTTCTTATTGATTGTTCTCTTCTATATTATGTGTGTGCATACCATCATGAAGTTAAGATGTTATTTTCACTAAAACGTACGTATTGTGTCGGGAAAAAGTAGAGTTTGGGGGTTGGCCCAGTCTCTATTTCAATTAATCCCATATGTTCTGTTGTTCACTTTATGCATTTCCTGCTTTACGCGGGCCTCCATGGGTTCAATTGACCGCGTAAAGCGAGGTTTCACTGTAATAATAATAATAATAATAATAATAATAATAATAATAATAATAATAATAATAATAATAACAATAATAATAATAATAATAATAATAATAATAATAATAACAATAATATTAATAATAATAACAAAATCTATTATAAAATAAAAAAAATACAATTTATAAAATAAAATAATAGTGATAATAATAATATTAAACTATGAAAAAATAAAAAAAATAAAAAAGATCAAAACTGAGAAACAATATATGTATGTTGTGTTGTCAATAGTAAGAGAAACAATTGAGACCCTGTAATTGTGTGTAAATGAGGAGGAAAGTCGGATCAGAAACGTGGGACTTGGTCACAATTTTCGTGATGTCATATGGCAGCAGGGTCTACCATTAGACAATACATTATGCTTCCAATATCTTCCCAGGCAGTAGAATCTCCCTGTTTGGTAGCTACCTACTACCTCAGAAATGTTTGTTTTAATGACCCCATGGTAAGCTGATTTGTTACACTTTCAAAGGGTATTATTAATGTACATGTTCTCCCGGGGAAAAATTCCTCATTAAAAAACATTTTACTATAAGTTACTTTCCTCTGGAAAAAATCCCTGACATATAATGATGACCCCCCTGTATCTATTCATTTTCTGTAAGACTTATACAAGTGGTCTGCATAATTACCTGTCTGGCACCTGACCTTGTATGATGGTCCTACTTCACTACCATTACCAAAATGGTTCCAGAAGAGTGAGTTTATCTAAACATCCAACAGTTCCTTAAAATGTCCGAATTGCAGATCAGGCCTGAGATTCTAATTTAAAAATCTTATGTGACCTCCAGGCCAGTTATCAGACTCATTGATAACAGCTCATTCACATGCACTCTTCATGTCCTCTTACTCTGAGTGTATTATCTCTTCCCTCTTTTTATTTTACATTTGCTTCATTTATTGTTCTGCCGAACAGGTTACTGTTGTACCTCACAGACGGGTGAACCCTCAATGAAATGCTCAGCCTCTGTATGTCATGCATACTGCATTAACCTATGAACCTATACCATAGAAACATGTATTATCCTTTGTTCCTTAGACAGAAACATTTAAAACAAGTTTCTTCCACCTAATTTCTCTTCAATCAACAAATACAATTTATTCAAATCTCAAAAAACTCATTCAACCTTCCTAAACATCAACCATTTTCTGTGTCATTCCTTCTTCTATCATTCATCATCACCAGGTGAATGCTTGATATTATGTACATTTCCCCTCAAAAGTATCATTATGCATGGGATAGATATAGTATGTGGTTTTGTGAGCAGTGTTACTGTAGTTCACTACTTTTGGAACGGACGGTATAGTCAAATACATCATCATCCTCAACCTCATTTTACAGTAATTTTTCACACTTGCATGGGTTAGCTGCACTTTTCTGATGGCAGCTCTCCATGCTGCATGGTCTTTTGCAGTCTCTCTTTTCAGGTACCTAAGTCTTAATGTTATTTTTCACAACTTCTCTCCATGTCATTCTTGGCCTGCCCCTGGTTCTCCTCCCCTCCACATTTAGGCTCATGAACATCTTGACCCAATCCATCTTATCCAGTTTCTCCACAAACCCAATCATCTCAGCCTGTCTCTACGCAAAACTTTGCTATTGTTATCAATACCCAGCCACCCTCTTAGCTTTGAACAGGGCTTAGTCTCTCAGTGTCACTTTACTCATCCACTTCACCATTCTCATTTCTGCTCACTCTAAAGTCTACTTATGCCATCCTTCTTTAACTGCCCATGTTTTACATGTACTGTTATACCCCATTATCTACTACAGTATATGAAACAAATTATCTGGGAACACTTTCATGGAGCAAACTGCCTGAATTTCAAAATGACCAGTAATTCAAGTATCTAGTAGTTCACAAAGGGATGACTCCCTCTCCTACACTTTCTCCAGTTATTAATGATATGGGGAACAGGCATATATGGTGATGCAATGGAAAATATATCAAAGCATTTCGTCCAAGTATTCAAATCTTAAAAGAAAGAAAAGTAACAATAGTTTTTGGTAACAATACAGCATGACAAACCTTTCTCTTTCTTCATTGCAACAATAACAATCATTGCTGCTTGAGTTAGTGAGAGATGGGTGACTTCAACCTGTGAGGTTGGTGGTAACACTGTTGGCAGTACTATGCCCTCCGTCACAATTCCTTCTTCCTCTTCCCTAGATGTATCATTCATGCTTCCTGAAAACAGCAGATGACTGTAAATAATTTTGGATACTGGGCATCATAAACACCATAAATTACAATATCTACACTCAATAAAACTTATCTATAGTCAACAAATTTGAAAAAAGTATAGAACTTGTATCTATCTACTGTATATAAGTGGATTTGATGGGTGGTTGTGAAACACAGGGTTGAGCTAACTTTCTATTTTTCTAATGTTTCGGGCTACATAGATGAGTTCTGAGTAGCCCAAAACGTAGCTCAAACCTGTTTTTCGCTCACACCCACCAAATCCACTTGTCATTATGGATCAATCACATCTATCTATATACAGTACAAAGAGTTCAATAATTTGCTTACACTAAACAATAAGTAAGAATAATCAACTTCACTTAAAACCGATTTATCAAATTGTAAAATTAAAATTAAGACATGAAGACAGTCTAAAGAAAATATATCCCCCTCCCCCTTACCCAGTACAGGTTGTACCTCTCTAGTCCGGCATTCTGTGGTCCGGAAACTCCCGTGGTCCGGAACGATTTTAGTTTGTTCAATAGGTAGATAGGCAGCTTTTTTTTCTTTTTTTTTTTTTACTTATCTGAATTATTATTATTATTACAGGAGTATTAAATTTTTGCCCCTCAGGCCCTAATGTGGGTCAGTGACCTATTCCCGGGTGGGCTAATCCCCTTAAAAAAAAAAAAGCCGCGGGAAATTAAGGTTTGTTTACATCCGGCAGTTCGGCTGCTCTCTCTCTCTGCTTGTCTATACAGAGTACAACATTTAACCCTTCAATATATATGAGCAATAAATAAGTGTTGCTTTCATATTCTTATGTAGAGTAATGACGATATATTTTCACATGTGCGCACTTACATACGAGCAGTCTCACTTTTTTTTTTACCATTAATGGTTAGCTACTTATATTGTTCCATTTATTAACATTAAATAACATTACAGGTACTTCAAGCAACAATATTCATTTTTTTACATTAATTTTACTACAGCTAAACTCAGGGTCTTATTTTCTTCAGTTTTATATGTAGAACCAATCAGTCACTGGTTTCGTAAGCTTTAACATAAACAATGCCAGCAGCCGTCTCGTCTCCTCTAATATTCCACGTATTATTAATAAATTGTATTGTTAATTTTGCACACACGTACATTAATTCCATAAAACCAAATTCAGAAACATTAATTAAAATATATATGAACAATATATAAGTGTTGCTTTCATATTCTTATGTAAAGTAATGATGATATGTTTTCACGTGTGGGCATGCGCACTTACATATGCGATCTCTCTTTTTTCTTTACCATTATCATTAGCTACTTCTATTGTTCCATTTATTAACATAAATAACATTACTTAAAACAACCATATTAATTTTACTACAGCTACAACCAAGGTCTTATTTTCTTCAGTTTTATATGTAGAACCAGTCAGTCACTGGTTTTGTAATCAACGAATACAATGCTGTGTCATTTCCTCGTGTGTTTTAATATTCTACGTATTATTAATGAATTGTATTGCTCATTTTGCACACATAAACATTAATTCAATAAAAAAGACATTCAGTAATAAACAATAATGAATCTTTTGTACATAAGAGAAATGACACTGTTTACACGATTATGCACGTCGTCTGCACGTTGGCGGGCCGTTCAAACCCGTCGAAATTCAAGTTTCCGCCGTCAAAATTTGTATTTATTTATTTTTTTGTGTGTTCCAATAAAATACGTTAAGAATTAAAAACTCGCGAAATTTGAGAAGCTACTATACGACATTTAACCCTTCAATATGTCTTCAAAGAGACCATGATGCAGAGAAAGTGGTGCTAGTGCTTCCAGGCATAAGCACAAGTCACTATCTATCCAGGAAAAGGGTGAATTTCCATGGTCCGGCACCGGTCAGGTCCCGAGGTTGCCGGACTAGAGAGGTACAACCTGTACCACATCAGCAGTGTGCATCTCATTCCTTATTTGTCAGTCATAATCTGGAATTCCAGTATACAACCTAACCTTTAAAGTCAGTCTTTTTGCAATATAACCTTGGGAGGGGGGAAGGTAATTGTTTCGTTTAGTTTGGCATGGATTATAAAATGGGGTTTCACAGTCAATCCACTATATAAACTAAACCCTTTAACTGTTATCATCGTCTTCGGCTCATTTATCAAAATTCGGCCTTCATTGTCTTAGGCGATTGGCAATTGAATTTAAAGCTGTGCACCAAAAATCATACTAAGAATGGAAAGTCGATGACTAGTAGACACTCTAGACTCGAATGAGTCACAAGGCTGGTGGAACCTCAAATCAACTTGCTGCCATCATCTTGCAATGATTTGAAATTATTTATTCCTCATCACCCTCCTCTCCCTTCCTCCTGTCCTCAGTGGCCCCTCACCCACACCACCTTACCTCCCACTTTGCACCACAAAAACCCACCACTGAACCACCACACCAACAACCTCTTGTACCACACCAACAACCAGGGCTCAGTAGTTGAGTTATGCTGCCTCACTTCATAGATTCATAAACTCACCACCCAAGATGAGTTCAAAGCTTTTATATAGTTTTTATGGTTTCTAAATTTTATATCTACAATTTCATAAGATATTTTTTTTAATTTCATGTCATACTTTTGTGTTATATAGGGGAACCTCGATTTCCTAAATGTCACAGTTACAGTACTGTATTGGGTTAATGGCCATCCTGAGGTAAGGTATACTTATTAATGGAAGCCAGAATAAATTGGGAGATGGTACAAAAGAGAGCTCCATCTGCTAAATAGCATACTGTAGTACACCCCAAGCAGGAGACACAGAGTGATAAAGTAAAATAAAAATATCCGTATATACTTTTCAAAGCCTCTATGCCATTTTTCCATATTTTAAATAACTTAACACAATAATTTGTTGATAACCCAGATCCTTTTTGGAAGTATGGTACTGATTGACATGCACCATAAAAAACTAGAGGCCAATCTTTGATGCTATGCATTCAGTATTCAGCCCAGTAATGTCAATTAAGAACTGCAAATATCATTTAAAATAAACTTTAGAAGTACCATCTTTTGAATAGATTTAAATTATTGAACTTCTTCATCACTGATTTACAATCATTTTCCAAACTTGCATGGGCTGGTTGTAATTAACTGATGGCAGCTCTCCCTGCTGCAAGGTCTCTTGCAGCCTCTTGTTTGGTTACCTTAGGGTTGGGATCATGTCTTACCTGCAGTCATAGATCTTGGTGCTTTCATGAGTCCACCTGCTGAAATGCTGATGAGGACTTGGAACAACTGTTAGATGTAATTGAACCTTACAAAATGATGTATAGTAATAAGAAGAAATGTCAGTAATACTTTAATAACACCTAAAACTGTCATGAACTGCAATTACTACCTCACAGATTGTATCACATTTCTCAGCTCAATATGAATATACATAGCCCAGAGGAAGACATTTGCCATACTCTCTAAGGTATGAAGCTTGAGAGTGAATCCAAAATGATGAATTGATTCTGAAATTAAGAATGGCAGCTGTAACTGGTGAGATGTTTGTAATGGTTAGGTAAACAATATTGTTTTAAGACTTTATGCCACTGGAGGGCAACCTTTACTTCCAATCCACCATTTGGAAAGAGACAATTATGATGGGGATGAATGGACACATGAAAGATCAACCCTCAGCAACCAGTTAGGGGGTAGTCTACTGTCCAAATCCCCAAAACAGCCTTTGCATTAATGGAAGGCATAAGTGGAAGGCAGGGCTAAACAAAGGGGACATTACAAAGGTACTCAAACTATCCAACCAGGAGCGAACTCGTAACAATGGTTTTAAATTAGACAAATTTAGATTTAGGCGTGAAATAGGTAAACACTGGTTTGGAAACAGAGTAGTGGATGAATGGAACAAGTTACCAAATATCATCATTAACTCGAATACGCTGAATTGCTTCAAACATAGGTTGGATGCTCATATGAGCAATAGGGGTTGGGTGTAAACGGGACTGCCCAGTATGGGCCAATAGGCCCGCTGCAGTTTCCTCCATTCTTATGTTCTTATGTAATCAAGGCAAAAGAGGAGATACAGCAATCCTCATCCATGCCATCTCATTTGCAAATGCTCTTTGTATAGACAAGAAGCAAACTTACCTAAGGGCGAGAACAAATCCATATGTTGTTGCTCTCTCTCTCTTTGTGCCTCATAGAGCCGTTGTCCATGCTTATGATCTACAACTATGTATGGAGAATATGGTGGAATTAACGATGAAACTGAATCTTCCTCCTCTTCTGCAGCTTTTTCGAGAGTCCTTGGAAAACCTAATTGATACTTGGCATTGGCTCTCATCTCAAATATCATATCAAAGATCTGTAAAATAATGAACGTAAATCTAAATATTTCCAAGAAAAGTTATACAATACACACTATAAAAGAGAATGAATCCTATAATAATCTAAATGTGTAGGATGACACAACAGTTATTGATATGAAAGTTTTTTAGCTGAAGCCCTCCACTGAGTGGTTCTCATTACTCTACATGCAGATGGCCCATCATGCCTAACCCTCTTGGCAGCTGGTGGCTGATCTTACAATCACCAATTCCTCTGTGTCACCCACTGGCTTCAAATAGAAGTGATTAGTGTATTTTATGGCCGGGAATATTCAGGAAAAAACAAATCTGTGGATTTTCTTCCTGTAGCCACAGTTTTCTTAAAGTAATATATGCAGTACCAGTAAATGTGAGGAATAGATACAGTAAGTCCTCGCTTAACGTCGTCCCAGACAATGTTGTTTCGTTATGACGTTGCTACTCTTTAGATACCCATGATTCCGACAATGTTGTTTTACGACCCGACCGATTCGTTATAACGTTGTCACCCAACATGGACTACTTTGTATGGCGCGCCACCCTCTCTTATTTTGGCGCGCTACACTCTTTCGCGGAGCGTCACAGCGTCCCCAAGCGTTTTCTCCCCAGTCTTTGCTAAGCTTCCACAGTGTACATGATGCTTAAGTGTTTTTGCTATACAGTGAACCCTCGAATATCCAGACTAAAAGGGGGACCACCTGTCCGAAAAAGCTGATTGTCCAAATATTCCAGCGAATGTATTAAATGTATAAAAACGATAAATATTGATATAAAAACAGCAAAAATACAGTACATATTATCCTGACCACTGGGGTTAGTTACACAGATGTTTTCCTGTCAAAATGCCATAATTTTAAGCAACATATGACTGTACTCACTTTTTACTCAAATGTATTACACAAAACAATAAAAAATTTTATCTCCTGTGCAAACTATGTTATGTGTATACTCAAATTATTTTTAATCTTGCAATGATTCCAGCAGTGTAAGTTATACTCTGCTAAGTTTAGTCTTTGACATTTTATAAGATAAAAGTGTTAAGCCTAAAACTACCTTCACTCTGGCTGGGAGGAGGAGAAGAAGGGGAGGGAGGGGGAGGGAGTGAGGTTAGGCAATGACAGCAAACGGGAAATTTTTTGCTTATAAAATGTCACTGTATTGACAGAATATAACTTACATTGCTGGAATTCTTGTAAGACAGTGATTAATTTGAGTACAGACATCCCATAGTTTGCACTAGACATAAAAATTTTAGTAATTAACTATATACTACCAAGTCAATTCAGTGACATTTTATAAGGGAATACCGTATTTCTCGGCGCATAAGCCGAGGTTGTAAGGCCCCGAAAATTTCCCAAAATTATGGGGTCGGCTTAAGCAGCAGATTTAGATCATGAAACTTAAAAAATTCTGGTGCATAGCAGCGAGACACTATTTACTACTGACAAACTTCAATGTGATTGCCCAATCTGTTGTTATTCTCTTTCTGAGAACCCATATATAAAACAACTTTGAAATACAACTTTGTTATTATAAAGACATGAACTGAAATGGCCTAAAATACTAAAATAATAGAAATACTACAACAGCGACATGACACGACTATTGTTTACAACTCTCTATTACTGGCGTGGTGGCTTGATCAGCTGTGATTCACCCCAAGGACATTAGTGTAAAAGAAAGTGTTGAAATACAAATTCTTCATTTAAGACATGGATAAAAAAAAAAGACACCAGTAAAAATGTAGGATTGAAATGGATTAGAATCCATCAAAATCTTCCTCCGAGCTAGTGGTTCCTTCCGGTGAATCCCAGTCCTCCGACTCGGCTGCGGCTTTGACTTCATTGTCATCTTCCCACACCACATCATCCACCTCACCATCCAGAGAATTGGATATGCAAAATTTTTTGAATGATTTTACTACTGTTTCTGTTTTTTTATGGCATTCCAAGAATCTATCACAAATTCACACAGCAACTCAAGTGGCGCAGCTCGCATATTTCTTACTTTTGTGAATGTTTTCTCCACTTGTTACATCTATCTCTAACTCGGTCCTTGAAATGCTTATTAAGGCATACATCAAGAGGCTGAACAACAGATGTTAATCCACCAGGTATTACTGCAGTGTGTTTTTTTTTTCAAGCATTTTTTCACTGGCTCAGTCAAGTGAGACCGGAACATATCCCACACTAGCCAACTACGCTCCTTCCTCAATCCACCTGGCCTCCTACTCCAAATGCGTTCTAACCACAGCCTAACTCCTTCGTCCATCCAACCATTTTCATGCACGTGCACATACACCTTCGCTGGGAACTTAACTTTTGTCATCGTTTTCCACTTAAAGATAATCATGGGTTTCAACTTTGTTCCATCTGCCATACAACTCAAAACCACTGTGAAGCGTGCTTTTTCATGTCCAGTCGTCTTCACCAAAATAGTTTTCGAGCCTTTTGCTTCCACCGTTCGATTGCTGATCATATCAAAGTTCATAGGAGTTTCGTCCATATTCCCGAAACAGGTTAGAGGGAAATTGTGGTTGTGCCGTATTTGAATAAAGTACCATTGAAAACATGTGATTTTGCTCTCCAGGTCACGGGGTAACTTCTGTGCGATTTTAGTTTTCTGTCTTAACACTCATCCTTTTCTATTCATAAAACGACTACACCACCCTCTTGTTGCCTTGAAGTCTTTACCAGTGTCTGGATTTGACTTGGCCAGCTTCATTGCGTCAATACATATGGCATTCCTGGTTCTTGTTGACCGACTCGAATAACTTCTCCAGTTCTGGCCACTGTTGTTTACCTCTTCTCAGGGCACATTTTGTTCTGGGGATGTCTATTAACTTTTCTTCAGCCTTCTTCCACTCTCGAACCTGCTTCTCGCTAACGCAGAATTCTCTTGCAGCTGCAGAGTTGTTTGATGCCTTTGCAAATCTTACAACTTTTAACTTGAACGATGAGTCGTATTTCATTCGTTTTGCGGGGGGCCATTTTACCATAAAGTTTAAAGACAACAACCTCATAGATATGGAAAATGCCAAGTGGAGAGAATGTGGTAAACAGATAAGAGGTCGACTTTGAAGGTGAGTCAGTCCAGTATCGAATGTCAAACTGCTCGTAACGGTAATGCTCATAATGAGATAAGAGGTTGACTATGAAAGTGAGTCGGTGCAGTATCGAAAGTCAAACCGCTCATAAGGGTAATGCTTATAATGAGTCGAGTTTGGGGGTCGGCTTATACACACATCAGCCTAGAACTAATATTTCAGCTAAATATTCGGGGGTCACCTTAAACGTCCGGTCAGCTTATAGGCCGAGAAATACGGTAGCTAAAACTCCTTCTGCTTGATAACTACACACTTTGTTATCTCCCCTCCCTGACAGCTGTCAACACCAAAAAAAAAAAAACTCCCCCTCCCCTCCCCTCCCCTCCCTCCGAGCTGGGGTGAAGGCAGTTTAGGCTTAAAGTTTTTATCTTATAAAATGTAGCTGACTAGACTTAGCAGAATATAAGTTACATTGCTGGAATCCTTGTAAGATAGTGATTAATTTGAGGTTGAACCTCCCTAATCTGGCACCCTTTGGACCTGACCGGTGTCAGACTATAAATTTTCCGAACCACAGGTGGTCTTTGTAAAATACATACAGTAGGCTCTCATATTTGGACACTTACTTAGACTGTAAAAACCTCGCGAAATTCAAATCGTCCAAATTTAAATACAACTTCCTGTGGAGAAAATTAATTTGAGTCTGATACTTTCGATGTTTGGCTAAATTTTGCCTTATTTACCCTACTTTTTTGGCGAATTAGTACCTGTAATAAAGCAACGAAAATAACACAAATAAAGTTAATAAAAACTAAAAACAACACAGAAAAAGTTTATTAAAAAAAAAAAAAAAATTTTGCCTTGTCAGCCAAACTATATTTTGCATGTTTCTTGCCAACTCTGTACTCCCTTCTTGCCTTTGGCAGTTCGGGGCGCTTAGGAGGGTTTCCATTCACACCAGGTTGACCCCCACCTCCTACTAGTTCAACACTTGCCATATCAAGGGCGCGAAATGAGCGTCTGAGCACGAGATCACCAAGAGATAAAGTTCTGGCTGTCTCAGTGCGTGGGCAGGAAGGAACTAATGGTGCTGCTAGCGCCACAAACAATTAAGATAATTTGCAGGAATGAAAATGGCTTGTGACACCAGTGAAGGCCTGGTAGTGAAGAACAAAGTTCTAGACACTCAAGTGTGAAGAAACAAAAATTCCTGCGCTTTGAGACTAGCAGACAACCTTTCACAATTCCTCAATAGATGGCGTTGCCGCACCACTGCCATTAGTAAACAAACTGCACAGCAGCAAGGGTTGTGTAGCTGCAGCCGTTTATTATTTTATTTTTTACCTACTGAGTAAGTGAATACAGTGGTCCCCCGGTTAACGAACGCCTTGGTTAACAAAATTTCGGCTAACGAATTACCTTCATAAAAACAGTCAATTCAATAATTTTCCAAGTTTTATATTAAATTTTTTAGCAATTTTAACAATTATTTAACATAATTGAAGTACAGGAAACTAGTTTTTAGTGCGCCAAACAGCCACTCAACTCACCAAGCAGGCGTGAGTTTGTATCTTTGGTCAGTAGAGGTAACATCTTGCTTGAGACTCTCTTGAACATAAACTATTTTTACATGACGTTAAACGAAATGGACGTTGTCCGATCATCACATAAACTTTTTATTTATACTTATGTGTATGTGGAATACTATAGACGTACATATACACTCTTACTGTTAAATCACTACTGTAATGTGATACAGGTGATTAATTTTTATCTCTTATGCAAAATACATGACGTTTACATTAAAATTATTCACTGTTTTACAAGGATTCCAGCAACGCCAAGCAGATGGGGGAGAGGGTGGGAGCGAGCGAGGGGGCGTGGGGGGAGGGGAGGTAGTACGTTTGACAGTTGGCACAGGCCCAGGTCTAACGCATGTATATTTATCAGTTCTTAGGTGACTAAGCTTCTCTCTTATAAAAAGCCAGTGAAATGACCTGGGTGAATATAATTAACATAGCTGGGATTCTTGTAACATACTGATTAATTTGAATATAAACATGCTATAATTTGCACTAGACAAAACAATTTTAGTACCGTAATCAAATTAGTACATGTGCACTCCAGCTTTGCACTAAGAAATCTATGTAAATCTACCCAAAAATACAGTTGAAAAACCTTTTTATAAAATGTACTACACTACTGTACACTAATGTACAACAATTTTTATGTCGAGCAAAATATATGATGTTTATATTCAAATTATTGGCTGTCTTGCAAGGATTCCAGCAATGCAAATTATAATCTCCTAACATTAGTCTGAGATATTATATAAGATAAAAACTGTAAGCCTAAAAGCCTGGCTGGGGGGGAGGGGGACGTAGCCAGCCACGCCACCCAGCGAGGGGTTGGTGGGGGTTGGTGGGGTTGAGGTGATAAGTTTGAGGCGAAGGTCTCTGTGTGTTTATTTAACAGTCCTACTAATCTACTCTCATCTTAAAATGACAGTGATATGACCTAGGAGAATACAATTAACATAGATGAGATTCTTGTAAGATACTGATTTATTTGAATATAAACATGTTGTAATTTGCACTGGACATAACAATTTTAGTACCGTAATCAAATTAGTACATGTGCACTCCAGCTTTGCACTAAAGTCATTTACAGTATTTCTTTTACGTTTCTTTTAGTATGGTGTGTGCATGTAAATGTATGAAAATAAATGAAGAAATTTATGTAAATGTACCCAAAAATACAGTAGAATTTTTTTTTATAAAATGTACTACAGTATTATACACTAATGTACTACATTTTTCATATCTTGAGCAAAATATATGACGCTTATATTCAAATTAATCTCTGTCTTGCAAGGATTTCAGCAATGCAAATTATATTATCCTAACTTTAGTCTGAGATATTATATAAATAAACATAAAGAAATCACCAATCTTTTATCTTGGAACACGAGGCTGGTGGGGGGGGGGTGAGGTGACAGAATGTCTGGCGTTTGTTTGTTTATTTATTTGAGATAAGATATGACAGTTGGCACTGAAGGCCTGCCTGCGTGTTTATTTATCATTACTTAAGAGTGACTAAGCTCTTCTCATAATTTTCCACCCAAACGACCTGGGTGAATATAACTTACATTGGAGGGATTCTTGTAAGATAGTAATTTATTTGAATGTTTTTTTTTCAATTTAAATTTTAATTGTTTATTCCTTGATAGAGGAAGCGGGATCCTAGTGCTGTCACTTGGTACCCCTGTACCATAACACCAGAAGCAACTGGCCAGTGTCACAAGTATATACAGTACAGTACAGTCATCCTTTGGTTATCGCGCCTAATTGGGACCCCGCTGATAACGAAAGTACAGAACCTATGGGATTTATTCTAATTGGTTCATTTACCCAAGACCCAACCCCAAGTTTCCCATTTTACGACCATTTAGACCCACTAAATATATATATATAATGTTATGGTAAATATCATAAACACACATAGGCATGGCTAGGTTTATTAAAAAGTGATGAAAAGGGTACGCTTAATACTGTAGTCCACAAAACATGTAGCTATGCTTTTTTTATTTGGTCCCCCGTCATACGAGTCCGTTTTCTCTCACATCAGGACGTCAGAGTCCTCAGTTTTCTCTCTTAATCTTAGAGTGCACCAGAAACTTTACTATTTTTAGTAACGCCTGCTGGACCACCACTCCACGACCCCCAGACGAAAACACAATGATCCTCCCCATACTGGCCAGATATTATATGTTTAAAGGAATATCCTTTCTTCCTTAGGCTTTAGTAAGCATTTGCCTACAGGTAATGTTAACCTACATCTATTGAGGATAAAATCTTTCACCAACAAATTGACAATAACACTTTTGCTGTTATCAGACATATCTAGTTGCCTCAACAATTGCAACCCCAGTTGCAATTAGGGTTGCAATTTCAAATTCTGTGTCATTACTAAGGAATAACGAAGTCTCTGGTGCACTCTAAGATTGAGAGAAAACGGAGGACTCAGGCGTCCTGAAGTGAGAGAAAACGGACTCCTATGATGAGGCACTCAAATAAAGAAAGCATACCCATAGCTACATGTTTTGTGAGGGCTTAATTCGTTCGTAAGTAGAGGAGCACCTGTATTTTAAAAGATAAGGACAGCAACATACCTTAAGTCTAACTCTGGATACTCCTTCAAGAGCAGCTTGATTGCGGTAATGGTGTTCCAAACATGCAAGTAATATGCCATATGCCTGAATGGCATGTGACGAAGGTAATTCCCAAAGTTTTTTCTTAAAGAAACGTATCAAACCAGAAATGGCTGCAATGATGTCTGCAGCTTCACTTTCTCGTACTACTTGAATACAGTCGCCAGTGGTGAAGTACGGTGCCATCACAACCTGAAAGATACCCAAAATATACTAAAACTGTTATATTTAGACCAGTGCTTATATACTCTCTTGCCAATAGAAAAAAGTTTGATAGATTAATATAAACAATGTGTATGTAACAGTTAAATAAAATAGTGTAAGTTCAAGTTAATATGAGAAATGATGGAGATACAAACACAATATACAGGGATCCTTGTTACATGTACACTGCACTCACTTATACGTACAGTATACACTAGTTCCTTGCTTAACACTACTTTTTTTAACGTGTTTTTGTCTTTACATGGCATTTTGAATGGCAATATACCTTGATTAATAGTCATAATTACTTATAGTTACGCGGTGTGCCAGTTTAGATTTCGCAAGCTGCGTCGAGTGTTGTCCAAGCAAACAAGCTCCGCCACATCTATTCTGCATTGGGTGCCTGGGGTTATCAAGGACTGTCGTGCCGCAGGGACACTGCTTTGGCCCACGTCCATATTGGCCATATACGACTGACTCATGGTTTGTTAATGGAGAGGGCGACCCCTCCCCATTGACTGTTCGAGACCTCCTGGTGGAGTGCCTCAGTCTCTCAGAGATTTTCATAGCAAGCACTTCTCCCAATGCCGGGGGGGGGCAGGTCTTATTGTTCTTTCTTTGGTGTTGAGGGAGGGGAATGGGTAGTGTAGGAGGGGACGTCCTCTCCTTCGTGGAGGAAGCCGGCTTTCTACACAAGCTTTGAGTTTTATCTATTAACATTTAATTTTTTTTTTTTTACAAAAGTTCTATGTTATTTGTTACTTATGTTTTTACCTTGCATTATTTGAATTTAGTCTCTTAAGTCTTTATTCTAATTCAGCGACATAAGACCTAAGCTATTGCGTCGCCAGGGATGCAATTACCACAATAAATTAATCAACAATCCCCATGAAGTCCAGTGATGATGAATAACCAGCAGCCAACCATACCCTCAGCTCTAAGTTATGTGTGCAGGAGCTGCAGGCCTCTTAAATGTGAGTGTAGTTCATTTAATAAATGTTGAATGCTTATATTAATGTTTAAATTAACCATAGAATTGTTTATGGTGGCAGTATGCCCAGCTGTTGCAGGGTTCAGAGACCACACCTATTTTTAAATAAGGTCTTTTATTTATTAAACATGGTTTCTTAGTACACGGAGTACACGGGGTGTTGGGGGGTCCTAACCCCCGTCTTATACAAGGAACCATTGTAACAGTTTTTACCACCAAAAATTCATTATTCGTATGTCAATATGTTCTCAGTTATACATATACAGTACTCCTGGACAATTTGAGTACTCTACAGTAATCTCCCCATTAACCAGAATCTCCGGTCTCCAAAACTCTCCAATAGCCGGAATAAATCTTAAGCCTTCCAGGAAATTCCGGGAAAACTCTCTCCATTCCAGGCATGGGAACGAGTTTCCGAGGATGAAATAGTGTGCAATTTCTGGAAAATTTCTGAGAAAATGTCTCCATTCTGGGCATGGGAATGAATTTTCCTGGAGTTCCAAGAGATTGCATCATGCCCCATGTATCAGGCATGCAATGAGAGCTATACTTGTTAGGTTTGGTAACCTAGGTTGTATGCTCTCATGCTTAGTTCATATTCTGCTGCAATTGTACAAGGTTGCTCCCTTGCTCGCTGCTGTTTTTGCATACAATTTGTGTTGTGCAGTACATACTGTACATTGCTGTACCAGGACACAAGCAGCCAAGAATACAGTGTTAAAGCAGTTTTAGGATGCAAAAAGTGAAGTTAAATATATTGTATTGAGCATGCATTAAGTGTGAAAGTACTATACATAGCAGAGTGGACAGTGTATGTCTACTTTAGAATTCTAATGGTGAGTACAGTTGTATATTTTGTTTATTTACAATATACAGTCAACCCTCGCTTTATGCGGTCCCACATTCCGCGTTTCCACGTTTACGTGGTACCCTGCCGAAACCGGAATGCTCACATTCCGTGGTGCGTGTACCCCTTTACGCGGAGAGTGGCGCGAGCAGGGTGCGCACAAGGTCGCCCAGTCATCAAAACATTACCGAGTTCTTCACCCGCCACCCACCACAGCCGGCCCAAGTCAGTGATAGTGATAATTATAGTGAGGATATGGACTTATATGGACTTTGAGGGGTTTGACAAAGAGGCCCTGCAAGCCTCTGTGGTGGATAGTGATACAATTGATACAAGTGATACAGGTGAGGGCCAATAATCTGCCCTCTGCCTCAGCACCAACCCCCCATCCCGGTGTGCCCAGCCATCTTTTCTACTAATGTAAGTGTTAAAAAACCTAATATTATTGATATTTCTCTTAATTATTAATTGTGTGTGCATACCATCATAAGATTAAGAAGTCATTTTTACTACAACGTAGGTATTGTCTAAAAAAGTGGAGTTTGGGGGTCGGCCCAGTCTCTATTTCAATTAATCCCATATGTTATGTTGTTCACTTTACGCGGACCGCCGTGGGTTGAATTAACCACGTAAAGTGAGGGTTCACTGTACTGTAGATGTACAGTGTTGTTTGCATAAATAAATACAGCTCTTTGTCTGTTCGAGTTAGATGCGTAGTTTAGACTCTCGGAAATCATCCTCCAGTGCCAGTAAAATTCCGCGAATGTGCAATTTTTTCCAGGGCAGAGAAAATTTGTCTCAATACTCGGAAATTTTTCATTCCTGGACGAGATCATCACCAATTATTCCAGCCTTCGACAATTCGCTGAAGGTAATAAAAAATTAATAAATTCATTATACGGTACTATACAATACAGGCATTAGCTGATTGACATCAAGCCAAAAAGTGCATTTTGATATACAGTAAAGTAGTTTTATTATTAAGGAACCATATTTGATATAAGTCCCTGAAGTCTGATAGAGTCATTTTGAATCTCGTGTGCACCAGTGTGGCAGTGAGGAGGTAGGGTAGCCCGCCCGTCTCAATCACACGTTCCTAGCCTGCCAAAATTCAGTATCATGCCTTGGTGACAACAAGAACTAGTGCTGCTCTGTCGATTATTTTTGAGTATCATTAAAAAAATTAAATTAAAATCACCATGCATGGAAAACATCCTGCAGACAGTTCTGTGGGGATTGTACCCAAGAAGTTCCATCTTTACATCTGTTTATACATGAAAATTCAGGAGTATGGAGTCTGGAGAAAAACAAGCTGGGGATGAGACAACACCTGGTAAGGCGGAGGAGAGTGACCTTGGCAGTGATGTCACAGAGGAAAGTGATGTGCCTTTGGATATATATACAGTACTTGGTTAGTTTAAGTCTGTGAATCTTTTTCTTTTAATAATTTCAGTAATGCTTATTAAAGAAAAGTAGAGAGATTAATTCTGGCATTTCCATGGCATGGCAGTCGCGAGTGATGTCGCGGCTTCAGTCAACTGGGAAGACCACCACTATTAAGGTTATTCACCATTTAGTGATATTTTTATTATTATTTGTTTAATAAATGTTTATTCACTCATGATGATATATTTCTACCCAGTACAGAACTTTACTATACAGTACTATTATAAAACAAAGTTAGTAGTTTTCAATAGCTCATGAATAATAAGAGGCTCTACTGATGAAATCAAGTGAAAATATTAGGTTAGAATGACTGAAAGATTCATTTATTTTGAACCTGCACAGTACAGTACTTTAACATGCCATTCATCTCTCTAACTTAGTAGTTTGCTCTTGTTCATGCTAAGGAGAGGCTCCGCTGTATGAAGTTCACTGAAAAGGTTCAGATTGGGGTGACCAAAAATGTGCCCTGGGAATACAGTATATTGTCTAAATAACCTCCGTAATTTTGCACTACAGTATTTGGGAACGCATCTACGGCATAAATCAGTAACTTGCTATAATTTAAAATGTCTGCTGCAGTTAATATACTGTAGATGCGAATCCTGACCATCATGTTTAATTTACAGTAAACCCTCGATAACTCGGCATTTGATAACTCGGAATTTCATATAACTCAGCATGGATATGGTCTCGGAGTGTATTATAGTATAAATCAAGAAATGCCGAGATATATAAAATTAGCTGGGAAAATCTTGGCATATCTGGCCACCAGCATCACCTACCATGCCTCTGTGTCACTTACCATGCCTCTGTGTCACCTACCATACCTCTGTTCACCTACTATGCATCGTGTCACCTACTATGATGTTTCAATCTTCGACTGCAATGCTGGTAAGTTACTTTTTTACATTCAGTAATTACATGTACAATGAAAGACAAAAGCTGTGCCGTGAAATTTGGTGAAAACATATGCCGAAGGGCTAAATTTTTGGTGTGCTCAGCCTTGTGGTAGGGGGCTCTCATAATGTTTCACGAGTCATATTTAATCTTCGGACAAGTCAGAATTTGGGATAACTCGGCAAGGCCAAATCCCCATATGTGCCGAGTTGTTGAGGGTTTACTGTACTTATATTTTAAAGACAAACTATAAAACATACAGTATATGTAAACACTGTAAATGGTGAAGTGATGGTTCTTCTTTCTGATAAAAAAACATTATTAGTGTTTGATATAGTTATGGGTTTTTTACTTGTCGCACAAGCATTACATAAATAAATAAATATAGACACAATATTTCTACATTTAATTAAGCATCACATTCATCAATTAAAATTAATGATTTTTAGATCAAATAGTAACCTTCTGTATTTTTAAAAAAAGGAAAACAGATGACCAGATAATAGAGAAATAATAAAGACCATCACAAAGTTCCCTTCCTTAACACACCAAACGCTCAAAATTCTCAGCCCGGAAGTCGGTCACATGAGATCCTGGATCCACCCAGGCACATAGATATTGTACAAAAAGTAGTTCTATATTACCTAAAGAACTCCTTCCCTGGATGGCTGGTTAGATGTTTTTAATTAGAATTTAATATTTTATGGCAGTGTTTTATTAACCTAGCATCAAAAGATCCTCTAAGTATTGGAATTATGGTGGAGAGGGGGTACTTTTGCCGAGTCATTCCACCATCAACTGCCTCAG